GTTATGTTATGTTGTGTCTAATATTATGTAATTAAATTTTTTAAAGAGATTAATGAAGAAATAATTTTTTATAAATTATCTTAGTTCAATATAGATAATTTATCTTTGTCAAAATTAAAAAAATAAAATAAAATACATATAAACTGATAAAACAAATGTACTTGACTGCTAAAAAAAATAATACTACCATATAATAATGTTATGTGCTCCATAAAAATAAATAAATAAATAACGCTATGCGCATAATTTTTTGTTTTCGCTTGAAATTAGAAGCTAAAAAAAAAGTATTCCTAAAATTAAATTTCCCTATGAGGTCCCTTGCGACATTTAAAAATAACATTATGAGTTTTATGTTCGAACATAAATCGGTTTCAGAGAAGATAAGCAGAAAAAGAAAAGTAATTCTCTATTATTAGACATATTAATAAAAATTTTCATAAAAAATTATTTTAGTATTTTTAAGTGTGAATACTCCCATAAAAAATTGCAAAATCATATCGTATGTACAAACCAAAGTTGCAGAATCAACTCTTAGGTACAGAGATATGATTTTTTAAAATTTATCTATATAAAAAGCAACAGAGTAAACGATCAACTAATATATCGGCCAAAATAAAAAAAACTAATATGTCAGCCAAAAAAAAAAAGAGAGATAAACTTATATGATATTTTTTTTAACAATATCAATTATATGATATTATGATAGGAATATATACAAATTATTGAACCAAACAATCTGAAGTCGAAGCAATTTGATTTTCTTTTCTTTTCCAGTTGTCAAAAATTCTCGGCATCTGTTTGGAAGATACAAAAGACAGGTATACAATAATCAAGGCTAAATGACAGTGTATCACATTCAAGAGTAAATATGTCATACACTTATATATACATATTATAAATAATATAACCTTACTTTGTCAATAACATCAAAATCATTCACGGTTAGAACCTCCATCTAGCACAGTATCTTTAATCTAGGGTATCAAAGAGGATGGACTATGAACTGGGGAACCAGTTTTTTCCTTATTTCTTTTTTTAAAATTACAACATAGACTCTTTATCTTAAAATAATTGTCTTTTTTTAATTAAAAATTTAAAAATAATTCATATGTTTACCTATATTATCCTTTAAAAAAATTTAAAAAAAAAATAGAAAATTTTTTGTGATAGGAATAATTTAAGTAGAGAGATAAGGATAAGAAAAAACAATACTTATTTATTTTAAATATGAAAAAATGACAATTAATTTGGACTATATTTAAAGTAAAAAAAAACAAAGTTATTTTGAAATGGAAGACTATAACTGATTTTCTCTTATCCTTAACTCACTCTACTTCAAATTATGCAATTCTTACAATTTAATTATACAAAAGGATATTATCACTTAGTTATTTAGGTTGTCAATGAGAAACCAAATTAATTAAGTTCTAAATAATTGTTAAATTTTCACCTAAGACTAATCAAGGGGAAAGATTTTTTTGAGAAACCTGAAGATTATGTTTGTTAACCTTAATAAATTAAATCGTGGAGAAATTTAAAAAGAGAATACATTGTTTTTTTATTATATAACCTATTCATCATATATGTTATCAAAGGACATTTTCAATATATATGTTGGGATCATTTATCATTGGAACTTTAGTATATGAAATATAGGAGAGATATATTTATATATAACTTAATTTGGACAAAGCGTGGAAACAAAGTTTAGATGAGAATATCGCACAAGAAATTCTGCCATTCAATTTAATTAATTACGGCTACAATTCTTTATGATCTTCATTGTCCTTTTCTTAGTGAGACTTATTATTAAATTTAATGCTAATAAAATGGGACAGCGCCCGGAAGAATGAAGGAAAGTTCACGATAAAGTGTAAAAATGCTTGTTAATTAATAAGTGCTCTACCGATCCATACAGCTAAGGGTAATGATTTGTGGGACGAAAATGGGAGGAGAGATTGGGAGCCGACAAGCGTAGTAGGTTAAATTGGTAATTTTGTGTCTTGGCTAGCTACTCCTGTCGTCCCCTGTTTCGCATTCCATTTTCGTCCCGCAAATCATTATTAGCATTTTTAGAAGTTGTAATTATGAAATTAAATTCAGGACAAAGAGGTTAATTTATTAATTTGACTGGCAACGCTGGAAACTTAAGCTGCGGGAAACATTGATTAATTACGCGATTTTCTTTTCCCCAAATAGGAAGGAATTCTGTCAACTTGATTCCAGCATAAACTTGTTCGACGGGAGAAACATTTATGATAAACCCAACTAATCCAAATAATGTGGAAAAATGTACTTTTCTATAAATCTTAATGTGATTCGGAGTAAGTGCAGTTGAACTCTTGATAGCGATCTTTGATCGACGTACATTTGTAAGTTTAAGGCCAAATTTACCATTAAAATTTTAGTATTAAAAAAAGGTAAAAGGTGTAGATTTTAAGTAAATTGCTATAAAAAAAGTATTAATACAATTTATCATTTAAAATTTTAATTTTTAAAAAGTCAATCTAAATTTAATTATTATTATTAACTTTCAATTAAATTTCAAGAGAAATATTTTAATTAAATATAATAATAACTATTAAATTTAAATCAATTTTTTGAAAGTACAATTTTAAAGCGAACAATTTGCTTTAACTTTTTTCCTTGGATAGTAATTTATTTTATTGTAAAAATATTAAGGGACAATTTCACATTGATAAATGATTTTGAAATAATTTTTTTATTTAATATTTTTATACAAATTGACGTGTTATTTATATAATTAGTTTTTTTATTTATATGAATATCATGATATTAAATATATTTATTTATTTAATAACATATAAAAATTGTATCAAAAAATAATATAAAAAAATTATCACCATAACATCAACCTTATCTATTCGGTTTTAAAAAATAATAATATATATAATAACCTCACGTTGCTATACACCGCAGATATTTTGCGCATCAATAAACAATAACATATACACAAAATCTCAGAAGGATCCAAATTAAGAAATTAAATTTATTAAGATTTTTTGGATCACGAGTCGAGTAATTTGACATGATGAGCAGCGAACATTCAAGCATATGTAAGAAAGTTAGCTCCGAAAGTAAAACCACGAGAGCGGCAGCCATGACTAAGGTCGAGAATGGCAGGTGGATGTTATTTATAGATAATAATATTTAAAGAGGATGTTGTTAATGCAGCTAATTACTTAATTAGGTCTTCGCAACTGTCATCATCATTTTTGGACGATTCTGTTAACCTATTTTTTGAGTGGCAAAACCTCAAATTTATCTCAAATTTTTCTTTAAATTCTTAAGTTTTTATTGAAATAAATGACCTTTTCAACTTAGTAATCTAGGTAATATAATTTTTTTTTTCAGTAAACTTAACAATAATTAGTTTTTCACCTACTTAAATAAAATACTGACATATCATTACTTTTATGGTGAGATATTAATCTTATTCATATATATATAATATAAACTAATATTAAGTTGAGAATTAGATGTTTAAATCGTTGAATTTATGAGTTTATTTATTTTAATAAAAATTTAAAATATTAATTAAAAATATGTGATAAGTTTAGGGACTTAATGTACAATTTCTCATTTTCAGTCCCATTTCCAACACTCGGTTCTTTATATAAGAATTTTAAGGACGTGCTTGTCACGTCAATGTAATTCCTATATTCAATAAAAAGTTAGGTACATACTCATGTTTCAATAATTCAATCTACAGGATCCAAATTAATTTTGGGTTGCAATTACTATTATATATATTTACTTACATTTGAGGATTCGATTTAAAGATAAATAATTGTTGTGTTAAAAACTTAAATTTTAAATTTTATATAAATTAATTTTTTAAAAATATATTCTCTTAAAAGTGTTCACAGAGATAAAAATGAGGTTGTGAACATCTTTACTGTCAAGAAAAAATAAAAATAAAAAACCTGCAAATTTATATTGGGTACCCAATTTCTCATTAAATAAGGCGAGTTTTTACCAAATTCAAGATAAAGAAATAAAAGGTGATCAAGAAGTCGACGTAACCCATGGTACGCTGGGCCAACTATGGGACCTTATAAATGAGAGCAAGATACATACGGATTGACCGGCATCAGAGAGCTAAGAGAGGAACAGTACCAAAGTTCATAGCTAGTCTCTTTCAGTGCTCTTGTAAAATTTTCTCAGTCCTTAAGAAGGGAACTAACAAAAATCACTGATAGTACATATGGGAAGGAGTCCTTGCTGCGCAAAAGAAGGGTTGAACAGAGGAGCCTGGACCGCCATGGAAGATAGAATGCTCAAGGAATACATCGAAATCCATGGTGAAGGACAATGGAGAAATCTTCCCAAAAGAGCAGGTAAAAAATGACATCAATTTTTTTTTAAACGAACGTCGTCTTTTAAATCAATATTTTCAACTTATAAATTGCAGTTTGCAGGCCTTAAGAGATGTGGAAAGAGTTGCCGGTTAAGGTGGTTGAATTATCTCAGACCGGATATCAAGAGAGGAAACATAACACATGATGAAGAGGAACTCATTATCAGACTTCACAAGCTCCTTGGAAACAGGTCAATAGCCGGTTTTCATTCTGAGATATATATATGCCTTTAAATCGATGCAACTTAACTCTTATGGTATTTTTATTCACGGAAAATGGGATTGCAGGTGGTCTCTAATAGCAGGAAGGCTACCGGGGCGAACAGACAATGAAATCAAGAACTACTGGAACACCAAAATCAGTAAAAAAATACAGGCGACTGAGGCCTCCACCAGTGGCCAAAATCGCCTGTCCGTTACTCCTCAACCATTGAACCAGCCTAATCCAATGGTAAAACCTTCGTCATCTGAAAATTCAATTGTCATCCGAACCAAAGCCAGAAGGTGCACAAAAGTTGTCATTACTAACCCTGCAGAAAGACCAGAACCACAATTTTCCGATCATCATCATCAACCGGATGATCCAATTAAGTCATCGGAGTTTGTTTCCAAGGAGAACGAACCACTGTGTTCAATCATGGGTGATCTTGAGGTGGATGAAAGCTTCTTAGCAGATTTTCTCGACATTGAATTTGGAATGTTTTCATCATCAAATCTGAAAAATGGGATTACAGGTGGAAATAATGGCACGAACTCGCCAGGCTCTGATGATCATTCCGTCTTGTATTCAGATGACATGTTGCATGAGTTGTCGGACTTCTCACCCATGGCTTGTTTAATCGACACTGAATCGGATTGGCTTCAAAATTAAGCAATCGTTGATCAGTTTAAAGTCAACGTTACGCGGTCTGCCGACAGATGCGATTAATAAATTTGATAAAAAAAAATGGTTATGTAGTTATTTTGTATTACTAAATTTCCTCTAGAAAGATCTGGTCAAGAGCGTTGTCTTTTCTTCCAAATTTTACCGAGTATCTTCATTTTTTAAGGTAATAAAAATTGAGGATATTATAATTATAATGTTAAGTAAAATTATAAATTTATAATTATGAAGTGTTATTAAATTGATGTTACATATTATTAAATAAATATATATATCATGATAAATTCTTAAATAAAAAAAATTATTTATTTATAACATATTATATTATAAATTTATAATATTACGTATTATTATAATTATATTACTTTTAAGTTAAAATTACTTTAAAATCCTTATTCTAAATCTATGAATAAGTTTACCATTAATGATGGTTCCTTATTTTTCATATCTCTCCCCACTTATTTCAAAATTCAAATTTAAATTTCTAATAAAAAAATCTCAAGATATTAACAATTAAGACACTTTTAAAAACTTATCCACCTTAACTCTTTGTATGCCATGTCAGAAAACAAACAAGAAATACACGCTTTATTAGATGATTTTAATTGAGACTAAAAAGAGTCAAAAATTAAGGACTTATCTTTTACCATTCCAAAGTTGATGGGTTAATATTATAAGAATAGAGATCTATTTACATATAAATTTTAAATATTATATTTATATATAAATTTGATATACTATTTACACAAAATCTAAATCATTCATTTTTTTACTTTCAATTATTGATATTTATTACTACTTTTTAGATGAAAAAAGGATAATTATATTTAATAAATATGATAAAAAATGAATAAATCTCGACCATTAAAAGTAAAGAGATGAATAAATTAAAATTTTGTATAAGTGTGATATGTAAGATTTTTGTATAAGTAGATCTTAACTCATGATAATAATAATAATAATATACCTTTTATTCAGAAAAAAAAAAGTTTGAAAAAGAAAAGAAAAGAAAAGAAAAGTGAAAAATTTTTGAGGTGGGTTATTACTTATTAGCAAGGCCTAGTTTCAATAAAAAACGGGCTTAACTGGGTATTTACTATTTGAGGGCTCAGTCAGGCCCAACTATTAAACCCCGGCCCGGAAGACTATATATATCTTCCCGGAAACATCAAAATCCATTCTCGGAATAGCAATTTTACGATCCCGTTTTCAGTACTGGAAGCCATGGCGACTGATTCACCGAGTTCTGTTCGAAAGGGTGAGCCGTGAAACAAGAAAACCCTAACAATTTCCATATAAATAACTTCTTGATCAATCAAACCCTAATTTCTTTTCATTCACTTGATCTTCTTTTATTTGGGTTTTTGATTTGGTGCAGTTGTTGTTCATCTGAGAGCTACTGGCGATGCTCCTATACTTAAGCAAGCTAAATTTAAGGTATTTCTTGAATCTGTTTCTATAACCCTGGAATTTTGTTCATGATTCTGATTGAAATTGTGGTTCCCATTAATGTTTTGATAAAAATAAAAGGATCATGAGAAAACAAGGGGACAGCTTGATTTCGGTTTCGGCACTAATGATTAAGGATCACATAACCTACTGAGCTTCTATTACAATTAGTTTTACAATTAATTGTGTATTCGGTAGGGTAATTTAAGGGTCTGGGGTGGCGGTTTAAATGCAAAAGTTCGAATTGAAGATCAATACTCAATTTTCGGTATTTTGAGATAAAATTCGGTTTTAGCTATTAACAATTATTGGGTTGAAGACATCTAAGACGGGGTTTGTTCCAAGTTGCCAGCTTGAATCATGTTTGCACTTGCAAATCAAAGGAGTATTTGCTTTGATGGCTGGTGATCCTGCAATCATAGCTTGAATATGAGCTTTAATTTTACATGGCAATGGTGCTTTGGCTTAGAGTAGAGTGTTCTTTTTGTCATTGTGACCCTATATGATTTGTTTCATGGGCATTAGGGCTAAATTAGTTCCCCACAGTGAGAAATTACCTTAGATCCTTTGCAGGGTATGGTTTTTATGGGTTTCATGTAGATAATCAAGCATAATTATATATTTTTAACTTGAATCTCACCATTTGAGAAATACTTTCATTTTACAGTCATTATTAAAATGCGTCTTCATTTCTTGGGTACTGTTGATCTGGGCAGATCGCTGGGACTGAGAAGTTTGCTAAAGTTATTGATTTTTTACGACGGCAACTACACCGGGATACTCTGGTAGTTGATTTTTGGTTTTGTTCTTCCTAATGGATGTTCATTTATTTGTTCATTGAATTATTCTCTTACGATTCTTTTATAGTTTGTCTATGTCAACAGTGCATTCTCACCAAATCCTGATGAATTGGTGATTGACCTATATAATGTAAGTCATAATACTTGGTCTCTGACTGTCTCAATCTTAAGCGTTGCTTTCTTGAATGGTTGTATTCTGCATGTTTATAGATGCTATGTTAAAGAGTTTACAGTGTTTCTTTTCATGTCTGCGTAATTGTTTCATGTTTGTCAAAAAAAATAAAATAAAATAAAGCAGAGTAGAAAGGATTTTTAGTTTGGGCAGATCACTAATGCAGTAGTGATGAATAAATGCATAAGAACATTGGCATGAGAAATTAAATAATAACATATAACTTACTCATACATTGTATAAATTATATAGTAACATAGATGATGGCCATTTGTCTCTGTTATGCTTCTCTATACTTTCTTTTTGTCTGGGAGATAGAGTTCATCTAGAATTTGTAGATCTCTGCAAGGGTATTGGTGTATTTGCATGACACTGAGCCTGTTAATGGCAGGAGGCTGGGTTTCTACTGTAAATGTCCATCCTTCCACAACTTCATTTTGTTGGTCCATGCTTTCTTTCACAAATATATAGTGTATCCAATAAAATAGATTCTCTTAGTCACAACATACAGATATTCACTTATTAGATGTTTTCTGCACTCGTAAAGAATCATCATTACCCCTTTTTTAGAGATGGTGACAATACAATCAAGTATACTTCGCCATTTTTTATTATACATTATACGAATTTAGAGTAAGAGCTGATTTCATGTACTGTGCATGCATTGTTAATGAAAGGTGGATTGATTGAGGTTTTTTTTTCCTTTTTTTACTGATATTCCTTATCGCCCTTAATTTGGATTGTGCAACAACCGTGTGTCTATCTTGTTCTACCATCTAATTATTTCATATTTGCATTGCAGAGTTTTGGTTTTGATGGTAAACTGGTGGTCAATTATGCATGTTCCATGGCTTGGGGCTAACTTGTGATCATTGTTCTGTCCGTATGAACTGTTCATTCTGTCATGTTGCCATATGTCACTTGACATCATTTTAACTTATCTCTTGCTTGCAAACAAACAATGGCACATAATTGCTAGCAGTCTGAAGAATTTGTACAGTGCGTAACAGCATCCACAATTCAATTGTTTAGTTGTGCATCTGTGGAGTTGATTTCAACCCGTTTATAATTGAAATTGTCATAACTTTAATAGATTCACATGATAAAATTACATTCTGCATATTTCTGTGCTGTCAACAGATTGATGTAAAGACAGATTGTCCTTGTTTCAATCAAGCTATCCTGTTTTTGTTACTCATCTTTTGCCTGTCATCCATTAGAAACCATGGTGACCGATCTAGTAAGTAAAAGCATTGTATTCTGATTGCTAGCTAATAACCCTTATCTCTCTGGGACACCCAATCAATTTCAATATCAACCATTTATAATTCATCAATATGCTCGGTTGGTTGGATAAAAGAGCGATTGGTGTTGGAGACAATGGTTGTAGAAAAATCAATCTCTGCGGGGCTTCTCCGCGGCATTTCTACAATCAACTTCAAGTCAATTCTTTTTATTTATTTGGGGTTTTGATGATTAGGTGTTGTCGAACTAGTTTATACGTATCTCAAAATTAATCTGTCATGTCTATTGGAAATGTGACACTGCTTCATTTTAGCAGGGGATTGCAAACTGGTTAAAAAACATGATATTAGCAAAAGAGTTGAGTATTTTACAATTGAATTGTAAAGCAACAGTCACTAGATAGAAGGTTCCTCACTTATTATTGAGGGCCTCTCATCATCTAATAGTTTATGTTTTATGGTTTATATTGCAAAGCACATTTTTGTTATAGAAAACCAAAGATAAGGTGGAACGTAGGACAAGGAATCAATTTCAATTCAAGCTCTCGATCAGAAAGAAGAAGAAAAAAAAATCTACTAAGCTGCATGTGACGAAGGACAAGGTGGAACGTAGTAAGGAATCATATGGGCTGCCTCTCAAGGCACTATTCTCTTCTAAATTGATGTAAAAGTGAATTGATATTATTTACTGGAATCTTTCAATAACGTCACAATGATATTCCCCGGCAGGGTTATCACTTTCACGGTTGGGCCATGTTACTCTGATCTAGTGTTCTGTCGTTTTACTGAACCTTGTATTGATCTTGGTGCGGCCATATCAAGACCATGAACAAAACAAAAGGGAATAAAAACAGAACACACCGAAGTAAATCTACGAAGAGAAAAAGGACAATAATTTGTTCATATGTTTGCTCAACCTCAACCTGTTCCTTCAAACAAAGGGAGGAAAAGATTCCTATGACATGTGAAAACACAGGTGAAATCCACTTTCTTAAACAGAGGTTAATGCTGCAGAGCTAAGGAAAAACATCAAGAACCTTACCGTTTCATGAATAGAGAGAACAGGTTTTCTAAAATTTATTGTTTCACATACACAGATATTAGCATCAAATTCATGGAGTCCAAAGAAAAGGATAGCATTTGATCAAGCTTCAAGGAACTTACTTATCCATTCCAAGTTCAGAGGATCTTCGTTGGAAAAATCAAAGAAGTCATCGACATTGAAGCTGATTGTTGAGTCCTCACCCTCATTACTAGATGTAGTCTCTTGTCTTCTTACTTCTATATGGGCATTCTCTGCTACACTCCTCAGATGAACTTCAGAGCCTCTTCTTGTTGAAGCTCCACCTTGTTTCTCCTTCAGCTTTATTTTCTTGCTCAAATGAGAATTCCAGTAGTTCTTTATTTCATTGTCTGTTCTACCTGGTAATCTCCCAGCAATCAAAGACCACCTAATGGAGAAAAAATATCAGATAATTGAAACCCATTTTAATTATCGGTATCAAAGTACAGAAATGAATATGTGATGGAAAATTACCTGTTTCCTAGGAGTTTATGAAGTCTAAGTATCAAATCCTCTTCTTGGTCTGATATGTTGCCTCTTTTGATGTTAGGCCTAAGATAATTCATCCATCTTAACCTACAACTTTTCCCACACCTATTCAGTCCTGCAAAAGACCAAAATCCCATCAAGTTTACCTGAAAATACGGTCCCAAAAGAGTAGATGGAGATGGGATTGATATTTACCCGCTTTGGCTGCAATTGTTTTCCATCTCTTAGCACCATGGATCGCAATAACCTCAGCCAGTTTCCTATCTTCCTCTGCTGTCCAAGCGCCTTTGTTGACTTCCTTTCTCTGATTTGAGTTGATTTCTCTTCTAATGGACTCATCTCTCATAGTAGCCATTGGTTTCTCTTACTTTCTGTGTGCTGAGAGAGAAGAGAGAGGTATTGGAGAAGGTTTGAAGAACTTAGTTAATTACAAGAGAGAGAGAGAGAGAGAGGCTGCTGCCTTGTTTTGGAGACTCACTGTATCTACCTTTCCTGGTGGAGGACCACAACTACCACTTAAATATGTGTAGAAAGAGGAGAGCTTTGCTTTGGCAGTGTTCATGACAAAATAAGGACACTGTGATGATGCCCTTGATGATTGAGCATAAAGTTTTACTCCAATTTCAAAGGCTGCTAAAATGAAAAAAAAAATAATAATAAACCATTTAGCTCATAAAATAATCACAAGTGTACATATCCCTGCTTAAAGACAAGGATTTTTTGGTTTTTGTTATTAATGATATCATTTGCCTTTGGTTTACTAATTCACTCAGAGACAAATCATTTATGTATAAATTAAAAGTTCATGTGGAATTAGTTTCTTGTAACTTTTAATAAAATTGCTTAGCCAAAGGTCTATAGAATTGCATTCAAATTTCTCGTTAGCTTTCTTTCTCATGTTGTGGATGAGGGATGATCCTTTACTAAATTTCATCTTAGAATATGAGGGTGTTTGGCAAATCTTAAAATACAACTTGTTTAAAAATAAATTCTCTTATAAATTAAAAAAATTTATTAGACAGAAATTAAAAAAATTAACTTTTATAATAACTCTTAAACAAAATTTAAAAAATTACATGTTTAAGCTTATTTAAAACTTAAAACTAATTTTTTGAATTTATCTTTAATAAATTTTTTAAGAAAAAATTTTACTTTTTAAAATAAGTATTTTTTAAATTTTGTCCTACAAGTATCATGTCTTTTTTGCATATGCAAAAGAGATTATAATGGAGACATGCAGTTTGGGCGCTGGAACAAAAGAGCACGTCCTGTGGAAATATAGCGAAGTAGCCAAGGAGATTAAAAAGATGAACCAACTAATTATTGGTCTAAGTGAAAGAAATTTGATTCTCCTTAAATAAAATCTCGAGTTCGAGCCTTATGAATAGAAAAACAGGCACTAGGAGAGCTTTTCTCTAAGTCTAACACGATTCGATTTCAGATTAATTGAGACTTAAAGTGATTACCGGATACTAAGAAGTTAATAAAAAAAAAAAAAAAGAAGCATCCCTTTTTTTTCTTTTTTTTTCACTAATCTGGTGTCTTCGGCTGATTATGCTTTTTCTAACAAACAAATTGACCCAAGTTTGAACTGCGGTCTAAAATGTAAAGTCTCCACAAACACGAAAACTAATCTCACTTTCCTCAAAAAAAAAAACCTAATCCCACTTTAATAGCCATTGGTCACTGAAATGAATCGCATGATTCTGACAGAAGAGTACATGTCCCTGACTGAAACTAGCTTTTCTTATGAGATCTTTTAACTATGACCTTTACAGATGATGCATCAATTAAAAAATTGTTTTAAGTAAATAATTGAGCTGTTGAAGGAGTGGTTACTGGTGTGACAGGCCATTAATGTCTTCCTGTGAATTTTTATTTTTTAAAAACAAATACATCTTGCGCTTGACCCTTTCAGATCAATTAACATTTTTTTAGTTTGAGATGTATTTTTTTGTTACCAGTTTCAAACTCACCCCTTAATAAATTATTTAAAAAAAAATAAATACATTTTTTTAATCGATTTTCTTATCCAATGATATAAACTTTGAGTTATAGTTATTTATCTTTTATGACTCATGTCTTTAAATCTCATAATTTTTTTAATTAATATGTAAATAATTTTAATTTATTAAAAAATAATAATAATAACTATGTCTTTTGGTGATTGAATCAATCAAGGAGAAAGGACGGGTCGAAAGTGGGAATTAGGTTTACAACTTTGGGTTTGTTTAAGGGGTTGGATGTAAAGGAAGAAAAATCAATTCTCCTTTGGACCAAGAAATTTTACGCCCATATACATATATTATATATATAAAGGAATCTTTATGCATAAACATCGCTGGAGAAATTGAATGATTGAGAAGTGTGAGAACCGAGAAGCCATTTGCTATGATATTAAAGATATCTCTATCATGTCACCAAAAAAAGGTTTAAGTACCATTTTGGTCCCTCAACTTGTCACTTTGGTACCAAAATTGTCCCTCACCTTTAAAAAGTACCAAAATTATCCTTAAACTTTCATTTTCGGTACCAAAACCGTCCTTCCGTCAGTTAA